TTATATATATATTGTTTAGAAACCCAGATAGATTACAGGGGTTTTGTGTGCACTAATATAGTAAGTTGGCGAGACTTAGCACATATGACACACGAGCACAAAATCTCATAACATTGTAAGTACTCGAAATCTTTGTTTTTCAAGGTATTTTTGATTTATTCTTCATGTTTTAATAAAAAGAACTAAACGTTATGCATTTGTGACTATACAGTATTTATTGGTTGGTGAATAAGTTTATTAAATGGGAAATACTATCTTTGAATGCCTATATGGTATATCACTAAATTCCAAACATTCCAGTAGGATGACCAATACTCAAACACTCGTGATATTTATTGAATTGGCTCTGAACCATATAATAAGCATTTTGATGGATTGAAAGTGCAATCTTATTACTCTGGCGAATTCTTATTGTAAACACTATAAGATGCATAAGTTGCTACATTCCAAGTCGTGTTCTCATAGTAGGGGCTAGGTTGACTTATTTCTTCGTGCATGTTTTGCTGCTCTCTAGAGTATCGTATTATGGTGTCATATAAACAGTCTAATGACACAAGTAGTGATTTTTTGCTTTATTTTCAACAGATCTATACTTCAGCCATTGACAGTAGAATAAGCACAGACTCTAAATGTGAAAGGTTTAGCAGTTCAAACACTCAAGAGAAGTACTTTGGAACTTTGTGACGAATAATGAAAAGAAAAAAGGCACAGCTGCTCATTTTATCTCTAATTTTACAACTGTTCAGTATACTTTAATGATTTCTCTACTGGGTGAAGAATCAAATATATTGTTAGGATAGAGGTGCTAATAGATAAAATATACAGTTTTACTGAAAAAAAAAGTTTTATATTTATTTAGGAGGTCTTGGAAGTTACCTAAATGAAATCTGAGATTTTTGAGATGAATAAAAGTATTTTTAATCTAAATTTAAAATTTTAATGTTTACTAAAAGTCTGCCAAATTTTGTGAGGATACACATACTGTATTAAAAGTTATAGTATGTATACTATAACAACTACATAGTGATTACGTGATTGGTCAAATCGATCGACCCATGTTGAGAGAGTTAATAAAAATGTATTTCAATTGGAATTCCAAAAAGAACCAGCAAAATTCTATACCTTATTAAATGTACTTTAGCTTAATTGTGAAGTACAGAAGCAGCATGACCAAAATTATGCTCAGGACTTTGTAATAAGATTTATTGATTACTTAAATTGTTATATTTTTATCATTTCAAAGTTATAGTGCTTTTATGTAATGTGACAAAGATATTCGAATACTTCTATGCCAACTTATATAAATAAAGCAATTAAAAACAGGTTTTTATATCTTCCATAAAGAAAGCAGCCAGCCTAATGACTAGTCAAAAAAAAGAAGTAATTGAAATGGGTATCTGATCATAAGATAAGCTACTTTTTGTAGCATTTAGGTCATTCTGTAGTAGCTAAACAAAAAAAAAATACACAGTACCTGACTTTACCATCAGAACATGCGGTGGACACCAGGTAGGGTGCAAAACAGGCTGGGTATATGTTTGAAGAACTCAGATGACCTACAGCTGGAGCAGCATGAACAATGTCAACATCTTCTGGCAAAGGAAGTACTTCAGTGCATACCTACAAAACAATGTTCTTGTTACACAGAAATTCAGTCATTGTATTTTGAAAAATTAACAATTTTAAAAAAAAAACACTTACTACAGTCATTTTGCTTGATTTTGCTAAGATCTACATCTTGATCCACTCTCTCAACTTCATTTCCTTTATTTATTTCCACTGCAACTCCTCATCTCATGAAACCTTGCACAAATATATCATGTAGTTGCAAACCCTTTTTTTGGCAGCTTGTCTTAATCCCAAGTCTTTACCTGAATTAGTCATACATCTGGCTAAATCATTACCATCTGAGATCCCACTTTCTCAGCAACCACAATGATGTAGAGGTGACAGAAATTGATTAACAGTGAAGCATACAACCTACTGTTAGCAATATGACAACATAGCAGTAAGTATAGAGATTTACTTTATATGACAATATGACAACATACCAGGTAGTCTAGAGATCCAGTTTATATGACAATATGACAGCGTACCAGGTAGTCTGTAGACCCACTTTATACGACAATATGACAACATATCAAGTAGTATAGAGACCCCCATTCATACGACAATATGACAACATACCAGGTAGTCTAGAGACCCACTTTATACGACAATATGACAACATATCAAGTAGTATAGAGACCCACTTTATACGACAATTTGACAACATACCAAGTACTCTAGAGACCCACTTTATATGACAATATGACAAGGGAACATGACATAATTGTATCATGGACAAACCCTACCATATATATATTTCTGCAGTAGGTTCTTAAAGTGTCAAACATGAACAACTAAGTGAAAAGAGCTTTTGAATCCTACTCTTGAGGACTGCAAATGATAAATGATGAAATATAGAGTACTAGTAAACTTTTAGAATGCTACTGCTGTTCAGATAACCACACCAAAAAATGACATTCTACAAATGTATGTAGTTTGAATGTTAGACCCTACCATCAAGAAAAGCACACTTGGTGAACTATAGAAAGTAAAATTTGTATAATAGAATGGACATATGGAAACAGCCCCTTTCAATCAAAAGATATGGTACCCATTCCAAGATAATATGGATCAAAGACACGAAACCAGGTTAGAGGAAACAATTGAAATTGGTGGCAAAAGCATCAATCATAAGGAAACATGAAGATGAATGAATAGATCATTCAGTGAGTAAAATTAATTCTAGAAGAAGTCATAGGTTAGTCAGTCCCTGAAACATGATACATCCTCAAGCTTATTCAAAGAGCAGACTTGCTGTTTTCAAGCAAAGAATATGAGAATGATGCCCCTCTTTTAATGAGATAGAATACAATTGTGGTTGTCTTAGTGAACTATTATTACCTTTATCAGAACAAAAGACTGAAATATGAGCATGTCTTGAGAATTGTCCACATCTTGATGTAGATATATGCCTCCAACTGGGCTGGAAATGCACTGAATCTGATGTTCTTGTAACTGAGCTCCCCATGCATTGTAAAAAGGGCCTGTGAACAGCTGTGAAATGTCAGCAGTACCTGTAAAACACCCTAAGTTGTGTGCTTGTTGAAGATCTTAGTGGGATGTAAGGGGTAAAGTACTTACTCAAGACAAAACCCTCCATTCTCACAAGACAGGGTTTAGCCTGAAAATAAAATTGCTTAGGACCTCAAGATGAATGAAATACTGAGAAGAGTGAAGGTGTTATTTTGACATTTTTTCAATCATAAAAATCTTCTGAATGTCCCACATGGTCTCAATGAAAAACAATATCAGAAGAATAAGAATTAAAAAAACAAGCTAAAGACATCGGCCTCTCTCACTTTAAAATTACAATCAGAAAGCAATAAGAAATTGATTGTAACAGTTAAATTACTAGGAGGAAAAGGACAATCTCTTCACAGAGGCAGCATATAGATTGAAACAAAAGTGGATTACTTGAAGTACAACAGAAAATGTAACCATATACAGTAACGATTAAGTCAGGTTGAGGCCTAATATATGTAGGGATTTGTGATTGGATAAAACATTTTCTAATAGAGGACATACAAGAACATGATGTGTGCAAGTGAGGTTACAAAATGTTAGAAATTTCAGTGGACATTAGTAGAAAAGCAAAGAAATCAGTAGGTAAAAGGAAGTTAACATTTAAATCTCAGCAAAAGAAAAGGGAAGTGCTGTAATAAAAGTAGTGGGAAAGTATCACATTTAAATAATTGTTCAATATCTTATCATTCAATTAATTTAAAAACACAATAGTTTACCCCTTATATTAAATTAATCAATATGTCTTTGTTCCCAATTTTACTCACAAATATCAGTTTTATGAAGTTCTTTTATGAAACCAAAATGTCTTATCACAGAGTATATTGAAATAGATTTCTTCATATCAATTATGAGAAAATTTCTCAAAATATATATTATTACTAAATTTCAATATGAATTCTCAACTTTTTGTATATTCAGTAAAGATATATCTTTGAGCTTAAATCAACAACAGTAGTCGATAAGTTAATGAAAAACATAATAACATACAGTTTCAAGTCTGCAAGGTGGCAAATGCCTCCCAAAACAAAAAGTTGCTTGTGATTAAACAATATAAAAAACAAAAAACTAATTTCATTCTATACCAACAAGGTTAAATAAGAAAAAAAAAGAAAAAATCAGTCATTGTAATGTAAGGTACGTTAATACTTTATAAAGCTTAAAGCAATTGCAAACCTTTTTTGTTGTAATTCTCAAAGGCTGTGCCTGAGGTGATGAAAAACTACTACCACCTGTAGGCTCTGGTGTGTTACTTCTTGATGACCGGTTGGAATGATCACTGTCTTGAACAAGGTCACTATCGGGTACATAAGTGAAGTTTTGTCCCCCACCTAAACAATAATACACAAATATATAAAAAAACAAATAATAAATCAAGATCATTATATTTAAATATGGTTCTTATATTGTATTCTAGTAGTCAATTTGTTTAAGTTATAACCAGCACAAATAATCTACATACACTGTTTTCTATTCAATTCAATCTATCTCAGCAAAACTCTCATAGGTATTCTCTGTCCTACACAATATCAAAAATCATAACCTGTAAACTGAACTTTTCTGCCCTTGTTTTTTTTTTTATTTCAAATACTTGTTTGTTTATTGAACTCTGCACATAGCTACTTGATGGCTATCTGTGCTAGCTAGTCAACACCACCCACTGCCAATTCTTGGGCTGTTCTTTACCAACAAATAACAGGATTGACTATCACATTATAACACCCCCCCACCCCACCCATGACTGAAAGGATGAGCATGTTCAGGGATAGGTTTCAATCCTGCAACCTGCAGATTGCAATTTAAGCACCCTATCCACCATGACTAATTTCAAGTTCCAACTATCAAAACTTATTCTTCGTGGGTACTCAGTATATTTATGCAGCTATACACACAAAAATGTGGAAGGCGGCAGCATCCAATGGAAAGAAAATAAAATTATTTCATATGAAAACTGGTAATGATGCTAAAAAATTGCAGAGGAAAAATATTTTTTTATGATTCTATTTTAACTTTAGTTAATAGTTTTGTTTTAAATACTTAAATATACACATACACAAGTGAATAGAATTAGCATAAATACATCAAGACATATATACAAAAATTGAATGGTGAAAGTTATAATGATAATGCTCTTTAGTCTCTATATGATCTTACTATGTACAAATATTACAGCAATGTTTTGTTATAATCAAAAGTATTTAACTCTGAAAAAACAAATTATATATGTATGTATGTATGTAGGTAGGTATGTGTGTGTGTGTGTGTGTGTATATATAAAAATATTCACATATAGTCAGCTGATACATTGTCTAACCTAACTCAGCATACCTATCAATAAACATTATAATAAACACAAAAAGCTTTAACAATCCAAAAACATTTAATCTATAAAGGCACTAAAATTATAAACAGCATCAGAATTAATTTAAACTTCCTAATATACACATACCTACACATAATCAGCTGATACTACAAAAGAGCTAAAACTACACATCAAAATTATCAAGATATCTGATAATAAGCACAAAAAACTTTTAAATATAAAAATACAATGACTATTATAAATATCTTTAAAATTCTAAAAATTTTATTTATGAAATGCTAATATGCTATTAGGTCATCTTTTTTTTTTTTAGATGAAAAAACCTGGACAATTTATATCAAAATAAAACATTTATTATATGAAATAGCCTCCATTCTTATCGATGATGCTTTTCCATCTTACAATTGGGTTGTTAATGTCCTGATTAAAGAAATCACTTGGCTTTGAAGCAAAAACATGTCAATGTCTTCTTTAACACCTTCCACATTTGCATAAGTTTTCCCATTAAGATGGTGTTGCAGCAAACAAAAAAATGGTAATCAGATGGTGCCA